AGGGGTGGATAAATAGTAAGGTTTTGCCACTCTTAGAGCTACTATTAAGGCCTACTTTGTGGTGGTAAGTGGTATCTAGTTGGAGTCATCCTTCATTTCCCTCCAGTGGCATTCTAGATGTCTCTTAATCCTTTTCTGAACCTTCAGCTCCTCTGTGAACCATGGGAAGAGTTGTGAGAGGTGGGCCAAGAGAGGTCATAAAGGCATGACCGTGTCCAAAACTTTGGCTGTCCTGTGATTCCAGGATGTTACCAGAGCTTTGGCAGGAACGTGCAGCAAAGCCCCAGGATATTCCCCAGTTCCCTCTGGAAGCCATTTTGGATCCATTGGTTGCCAGGCACAGATTGCTTGAATGGGTCTGGCCTCCCTGTGGAAGGGACAGCATAAGAGAATCTGAAGGCCAACAGGACATGACCTGACCATGACAAGGGGAATACCAACAGGTCCCCCACTAGTCATGTTGCCATTAGTCTGACAAGCAGATCATATCTGGCATGTGACTATTGTCCTGAGTTGGACTCGAGATGATTTTGATTAGGCCCATGGCTGCCATGGTAGCCAAGATCTCCTGGATGCCTTCCAAGGCCAAACTCACAGGTGGAAGATTGAAGTCCCTCAGGATCATAAGCCTGGAAAATTCCACTACTAACCCTGAGATGGCCTCCAGCAGCTCAGGTAGGGAGACTATTATTCAAGATTTATTTGCAAATAAATCTCCTTCTGCTCATTGGGCACGAGACCCATCCTCAAACTGAGCACATAGAGCTTCCAGGAAGAGACCTGCATCTGCCAACTCCCTTGCGTGTTCACTGTGCAGGTCTGCCCCCATTTTGCGGCTTCACCCTGCAGCGCTGCAGTCACTGCCACCACCATTTTTATGTATTTATTTATTTATTAATTGCATTTATATCCCGCCCTTCTCCTTACGGACTCAGGGCGGCTGACAATTGAATAAAATACTAACATATATACATATACTTAATTAAAATTTGATTAAAACGAAATATTTAAATATGTCCAATTTAAAAGTAATTAAAACCCCCTTTAAAATCCCTCAGGCCAGTCCCGCTGGTTGGAACAGCCACGTCTTGAGGGCGCGGCGGAAGGAAGGGAGATCATAGCCCACTGTGAAGGGTAGAACTGGGCATATTAGTCCAGGTGGCTGATGGCCTGGCTGAGAAACAGTGCTAGGTGGTCTGGATCCCCATCAAACGTAGCCTGCAAGGGCGGAGGACCCCAGGACACACCCTGGAGCCAAAATCCCATGGGCCACCTGGAATCCTTCAAGGCGCCACTGGCCTGCTGAGGGTCCTGACTTCCAGAACCTGGGCCCTGCCGGGCTGACAGACAGGCCACTGGAATCTGTCCATTGGTGGGGCCCCCACCAAACCCCAATGTCATACTTCCTTCCCACCATGTCTGCGGTTGTCCGGCCAAGGCAGCCAGGGATGAGCTCTCACCTACAGTGCATGACTGGGACCGGCATCCAACCTGAGTTTTGGGCTAGCCAACCAGAACCACATTTGTGACGTGTAAGCTGGCTGAGACCCTGTTCACTGCCAGCCCACAGCCTCAGCTCCAACCTCCCAACATGGCCATGTAGGGGCATCCTAGAATCTGGCCTCTCCGAATCTTTCTCGCAATATGTCCATTTTGTAACTTCCCAGAGCTGTAGATTAACTCCACTCCCCTTCATCATTATTGGTCAACCGCCTCTCCCGCCACTCAGTCAACTGGGTCTGAGAACACCCGGCGTGGGCAGTTGGTGGGCCGCAGGGCCGGTCACAGCCGAGCTCTGCCACCACTCCCCTGAGGAACCCATCTCCTGCACCATCCCTGAGGCCAACCGTGCATGAACTGCTGGCACATCTGGTCTGGTCTCACGCACCATACCGCTGGCTGAGCGCTGTCCTCCACAACCTCTGGTGTTGCCATATCTGCCACAACCAGCTCTACCACTTCTCCCACATCCACCGTCGGCTCAGTACCCTCAGCCATCTCCCCTGTACCTGCACAGTCCACAATCAGGAACCACCAAGGAAAATGGGTAGGGACAGGAAAAGAGGAGTGCTGACTTTCTATCAAAGGTCCCAAGCCCAGACCTAAGCCCAACAGAAACACAGTCACTTTGGGACCAAGGAAAACTTGGTTTATTCAGGCTGGGAAAGTAAATACACACTTTGACTTACGAAGTGTTAACCAGCAATCGCAAAATAAAGTGAGCGCTGGGAGC